TCCATTCTTCTGCAAGTGAAATTGCATTTTTTAATCATACGTACATGAAGGAAAATGACGTCTGAACTTTTCCCTTTAGTTCAAGAGAATTTGAGATTCAAATTGGTAGGGAAGGAAGACCTTAAGTTTGTAGACACTGTTCCATCTTAAAATCACATTTTTTAATGAACATATATATTCTCCTCTAGGCAAACTATACATAGAAAATAGTTCTAAAGATGGTTGTAACTCATTGCAAAGTGACAGATCAGCCATGTCCCCAAGAAAAGAAAAAGAAAGATAAAAAGGGAGAAATGAGAGAGAAAGAAGGAGAGGGAAAAAAAGAGAAAGAAGACGGAGGGAGGGAAGGGAGGAGGGAAGGGGTGGAAAAACAGATAAAGAGAGAAACAATTTCAGAGATGGAAAGGCAGACAGCCAGAAAGACAGACATGTGTTATGTGTTATTTTAAAATCAACAAAAATGCTAAAGCACAACAAAATTGTCTGTTTTGGCCTCCCCAATTTTATTGTTGCGCTTTGACATTTGTCAATAGAAAAAGTTTGGAACATTTATTTCTGTCTGTTTTACATGTGCTATCTCTATGATTTTAACTGTATAATTCTGTATTATATATTTTAAGCTTATATATTTTTCATATTAATAAATAGCCCACAAATGTCTTAATGACTATAAAATATTTCATCTGATTTTTAATTAACCAGTTTGTTTATATTCAACTATTATTTTGTTTTCTTTTTCACTACTTTACAAATCCCAAAGTCATACTTCTGAGTGAAAGGTTTTCTTTTTTTATTTTTATTTTTAAATGTGGATTATTCTCTTCAGAGAAAGACAATCCCAAATGAAATATACTGAATCATGAACATGTTTAAAACCACTGTATCTGCCTTATTAAATTATTTTCCAAAATATCTATATTATTTCTGTACCAGCCTTGTAAAACAGAGAAGGCAAGAGAGAGAGCAAGAAAGAGAGAGTGAAGTCCCTTTCGCCATGCTGGAGCCAACAGTAAATGCATAATTTTTGTTTGTTTCCTTGTTTAAAAGAAAAAAAATTTTTAAAATCTTATTATTATAGTGATGATAATTTTTTGGTGTAATAACGTTGTATCATTTTTCTTCAATGTCATTGTATTAATGCAAATGCATCTGAAAGAGTTAATGTAGAAATACTTTTCCTTCCAAACTGTGTGGACCACATATATCATTATATGGACAATTATTTGTTGAAAACATAATATCAGGGAGTCTGCTATGGTATAACAATAGGTATGATTTACTGTGTATCGCGTATCTCATATGTATCAAGTGCTTTGTCCCAGGTGGTTTACAAATCCATTTTTATCTTCATCAACATCATTGCTACTATAATATATTGAGATCTTAGTAATAAGAGGCACTGAGCTAAGCGCTTTAACTCATTTTCTAATGTAATCTTTACAGATCTCTATAGAATAATTTCTACATTTTAAAAAGATGGAAATTTGGATTAAGAAAAGAATGAATAACTTATTGAAGACCACGAAGCTAGGAAGCAGTTGATCTAAGGATTTGATCAGTGGTTAAGCCAGACTTCTTAGACCACAGGCTTAACCACTACCTTATTCTGTGTAGTCATAAAATCTTTTGTATGAAATAGCACTTTCTATTTCTTTCCATGATATACAGTTCAATTCCTGATTGTACCAGAAATAATTAAAAGAATTAAAAGTCAGTAATTATTCTAGGTAGTGTTAGGAAAAGAGACAAAAAAATATCAATATGACAGAAAGTTCTGTATGTGGATTTGTACTTAACAATAGTAATAAAAAGAAAATCTAGGAGTCTGAGTAGTTAACAGCAGAGACTGATTCTCTCCTGCTTCCCTCTTCCTCTTCTGTGCTTGGGACTTACATGACCGTTGATTTGGCCCCATATTTCGTATTTGCAATGTCAATGTCAACTCATAAATTGTTGATTTGTAATCATTAATGATTATAAAATATGAAAAATAGTGGAAGAGGGAGAAAGGAGAGAATGTTATTTGTCAATATTTATGCTGAGTATTTTTGTGCTTTCTCATTTTATCCTCAAAATAATTCTATGAAGAAGTATCTCCATTGAACTGAGACCCAGAGATAAGTAATTTATCACATTGCTTTATCAAGATCACCAATGAATAAACATCAGAGCTAAAATTCAAACCAAAGTCTACTTTACTCCAAAGATTATTGCCCTTAGGAAAAATTACCTTTATACTACAATATTAGAAATGTGTCTTTTTTTTTATTTATTTTCTTGTCTTCCTTAACTCTAATTGTTTGGAACTTTTGGCAATCTGGGTGATGTTAGCAACAAATGTGAGGGAGCCTCAGAAAGAAACTTCCCCTTTATGTTGTCACTAAGTGGATGCCTGCTTTATCAATGACTAGAAAGTTGATAAGATACTTATTAAGGCATGATACCTGCAAGTTATAATTATGCTGCCTCTGAGAAACACTAAGAATTTTATGAACTTCGTCTCATGAAACTTCTACAATGCCTGTGAGGCACAGAAAAAAATAATTTTTAAAGGTAGTGTTCATTATAAGATCAAAGTATCAAAAAAGGTTCAAGCTGTCTTTCAGCCACATAACATTTTCTTTAATGTTGAAATTTAATAAGTTTTCATTGTTCAGATGATCAAAGGCTTGTCTGAAATAGTCAGCCATGCTTGCATTAATGAAAGAATAGACTCTGCTGAAAATTCTATAGTATTTTCAGTGACCTCAAGTGAAGCGCCACACAAGACAGGGTTTTAAGGTCAAATAGATTTGGGGAATGGTTATATTATATACCCTTCTAAGAGATTTATAATGCATATGTGTATTATGAAGAAGCAGACTTCAAATTTAACTGTGCATTTGAATTGTTGGAGTGCTGATTGAAAATGCAAACCCCATTGTCATAGGACTCACTTATCACCCGGGAGCGTCATGTTTTAAAAATCACCTTACATAATTATGTGGACAGGTCATGCAAGACCAGAACTTTAAAAAGTTGCGTATTAAAGGCTTTGAGAAGAACTACTTTAAATACCACTGTTTGATGTTCAAATAAACTTTCCCCTGAACGTGTATGACCTACAAACTCCATTATTCCTAAAACCTATTTTGGGGTATCTTACACTTTGCAGGAAACTGTGCATTAATCATGTTTTTTGGAGCTTGATTTCATACATTTGTTAATTTTTCAAAGGCTGGATGCAAACATAATAAAAACACAAGCGAGTTGTATTATTACAACAAAAATTGAATAGTTACAATATTCTAGGGAAATGTTAGATTCCAGGTCTTAATTCAAACCCATAGAACATTAAAAGAAATGCATTTCTTAGTTTATAAGATTACTCTGTGCATCTCCTTAAAATTCTTTAGAATAAGGTAGTCAAGATTTTGACTAATGATTCCTATTATTATAACTGTTACCTTACTTTCCTACTCTAATAGGCTTATATAGAAGAAGGGGCAGTGTGTAACCATTTTGGAGCTTCAGTTAAATATACCTAAATCCGATTGTATGAAAAAAATCAGGCATTTATTAAAATTCTGAAGGACTGAAATATTTTCATAGCCAATGTTTGTTTTATTCATTTATTATTTATTCAGAGATTTCATATTGACCACTTGTTATCTGCTGGCATCAAGCTGAGTTCTAGAGCTGATAAATGTAGCCTCTGTCTTCAAGGAAATGAGGAGCCAGACATACTTATACATATGAAAACAATCCTAAGTGATATAATTTTTATGTACATTGTGCCTTTAGAGCAGGAAAGTATGACTCAGTCTTTCTAGTAGTGGAAATGACTTTCTAGAAAGGGAATGAGTAGCTGGTTGTCAGGATGTCACAGTGGAGACTTTTATGAAGGTAGGATGACATACGTATGGGTGTGGACTGGTAAAAGACCATGGTGTGAATTCAAATAAAAGAAATATGGTGCAAGAATAGGGAGCATGTAAAAATAACATTACTCTGAAATTCAAATTGGATTAGGTTAAGCCTGCTTTGGAACCTCTTTAGTTATCACCTACTTGATATTTATAGGATGTTAGAGTTTGAGGCCTGCTTCGATCTCCTCCCCCCTGTTAGATCCCAAGGAAACAAACTGAGTTGTTCAAATTCAGAGCTACCTGTGGTCATGGACTATTAAAGTCCTAGGCTTTGTTGTACACATGGAAAGGATTACAGGAAATCACACACACCCCAAAAAAGCATATTCTTACAATAAATAATTTTTGTAGTTACTTTGAAAAAATGTTTAAAATAAAGAGAAAGAAAAAAGGGTGGGTGGAAGAACGAGAGGTATTATGGAAAGAGAAGAGAAGCAGGCAAGGAAGGAAAAAATAAAGGGATGGAGAGAAGGATAGGGCATGAGAGAGAGAGAAGGAAGGGAAATTCAATATTTTAACCTTAGTTAAAATGGAAGTGGAGCCTAATTGGAATACACTGACAGCAACTCTTCTTCAAAACTGTTGAGGTTAAGAAGTAAGATAAGAATTCCTGGTTAGTAAAATCTAAGATCTTCTCTTCCAAAATGTAATCTTTTTTAAAGTACTGAGGCCTTTATTCTACAAAGATTGATGATTATATTGTTTAAATTGCTTCTCGGCTTGCAATATTGATGTTCCTGCAGGCATACAGACCACTGACATATTTAAACCTTAGAGTATAGATGCATCACAGATACAACAGTTTTATAATTCTTTACTTCTGTTTAACTGCTTTTACAAAGAAACAACTTTCCATTGGAATGGAAGTTTATTGTAGTAGCTGACCATCCTAAGTGCCCCTGAGATTCCCGAACAAACTGTGAATGCTTTCTCTCTCCTTGCATCCCACTCAGGTTGCGATGAGTTTATTTTGCCCCTGGCTCGCCCTTCCAGCCTGCATCAAAGGCAAAGAAGGCTTTCAGAGGGAAGAATTCAAAGGAATTTTTCTCTCACCTTCTTCATTTAACTTCACCAATCTATTTTCATTTGCAGCTTTTACAAGAGGGCAGGACCTGTTCAATGAAGCACAATGACAATCCCCCAACCAATGCTACAATAGAGCCAGTGACTACCCCACAGGTAATTTATTTGTTTGCTTGTTTTTGATTATGTCAGGAAGCACTTCTTGAATCCTTGGGGCCCAATGGTTTTCTCTGTGACTATAGCTGAAACAGGGATGTTGTATTTACTAATACAAGAGACTTCCTTTACCTAGTGTCTTTGGACATTTCCTTGACCACTGTGCCTGCAACTAAGTTTTTCGCTTGATCATCTGATATCCTCAGAAGAATAAGGGTGAAGGAGGTACACCCCACCACACACACACACAACCAAGAAACAAATCAAAAATATGCATCTATTCCTTATGCAACAAAAAAAGATAAGAAGAGGATTTGGGGAAGCAGATGAGGGAGAAAGAAGTACATATCTCCAACAAAAACAAATAACAAACAGAATTCAGGAACTTCATTATGAACTTCTTTCTGTACTGTTATTTGATCAAAAATATTATATCATAGCAATTTGTAGGGTTCATTTCACTTAACACAACATTTCCTAACATATGGAATAATCAGAGTTGAATGGTTTGGCCTAAGTTTTCTCAAAATAGTTTTTGAAATACCTTGCCATTTGTCGACAATATTTTTTGTATTTCCGTGAATTAAAAATATGGACATATTTACACTTATCGCATTTGGGTCTAGCATTCTTTTCTGTAGGATATTTGTTGAGATAAAAATTTACATTACTATTCTGTTAAGATTTTAATTTTTCCTTAAATGCGTATTTATTGCAACTATTCTAATTGTTTTTTTTTTCCTGTTGTGTTTGACAGAAATTGCAAATCCTTCCTTGTACTGAATGTGAGGTGAAACAAATCCCGGAAAAACAATTGACCAACTTTGAAGGGAGGGCAACTAGAGAAGAAAAAATACTGTAAATATCAAGAAACTGTGTTAAAAACATACATTTATGATTGTCTTCATACTCTTTTTCAACCACAGGCTTGATGGAAATACTGAGTTTTTAAAGCATGCAACTTTTTCACAATTTTATGTAACTTTATATAGTCTACAAATTTTCCAAAAGATTCCAGGCCAATTATGATCCTTAAGCAATAACCGAATTAAAATGGATATCCACAGTCTTAAATAGTCATTGTCATCAGTAAATTGCCCAGTATAGATTGCTCAATTTTGAACTCAAACACAGAATGACATTTAATTCTTCTGGTTCATTGGCTATCTAGTACTTTCATCACCTAGTTTTGAAAGTAATTGGAAGACGATAAAATGTTATCGACCCTTGACATTCTTAGAATCCAACTTGCAACCATATCATAAAGATTTGTCCACATTGGCCAATGGGAGTCACTTTCTTTAAGGCTGGAATCTGTGTCAACCTGAACATATTGTTTATATGAGGGTGTTATTGCTACACTTCTTATTATTTTGAACCATGTCTAAATAATGTCAAGGCAATTCTTTCAGATTTTTAGTCAGTTTATAGAATTCACAAAGTGTGTTTGGTAGGATGTAGACAAAATATCTGGATGAATGACTAAATTTCTGACATAATTGATGAGATTTTTTTGGCATTCTATAGACACATCCCTACGGTTGTGTGCTGGAATTACTCCAAGTTAGGAATTGAGTTCTTTGAAATGCTTGGCAAGATTTTTTTTTTCTATGAAATTGGGTAGTGGAATGTGGGATGATAAGAGGATTGCAAAACAAAAATATGCAAGCAGATAATTTACATTTAAAAATGGGGATTTCATGAAAGTAAAACAGATATACATAACCAATAAACCCAGATTTGTATATTTTGATAACAAAAGTATTATTAAAACAAGTCAATGGCTGTGATCATCTTTGAAGTTGGGTCTCTACATAGGAATACCGCTAATCAAACAAATGCAGTCCTAAATAATCTGCAGGTATCTCAAAAGCAGCAGGAATTGATACCCAAATCCTGTTTGACTGATAGGATTGATACAGTATCAAACTTAAAGACTCAAGTTAATGAGTTCAATGACACAATTAAGTTGTCTGCACTGAATAGATTCACTTCTGCTGGGTAGATTCATTTTGTAAATGCACAAAATATATAAAACCATTGGTTTTATAGAATGGAATTTCCAAGCCACACTGTGCCCTGGCATGCTGTCTTAAAGGATATTGTTACTTTAAAAAAGAAGAGAAGGAAGAAGGGAGGGAGGGAAGGAGGGAAGGAAGGAAGGAGGGAAGGAGGGAAGGAAGGAAGAAAGGAAGGAAGAAAGGAATGAAGGAAGGAAGGAAGGAAGGAAGGAAGCGGAGAGAGAGAGAGAGAGAGAAAGAAAGAAAGAAGAAAGAAAAGAGAAAGAGAGAAGAAAAGAGGAAGGGGAGGGTAGGAAGAAGGAAGGGAATTTGTAATCAATAGATGGACTTAAATTCTGATGTATAATGCACACCTTTGATCACAGTGACATATTCCAAGAAATTTAGTAATTTGGAAAAATGGCAAATTGTCATAAATAGTGTTAAGTATTACTGCGATATAATCATGTAGCAATTATACTTGTGGAATAATTCAGTGTCATTCATCAGTAGTATTCTAGATTATTTTAGATTCTTCTTGGCTCTCCAAGAAGAAAAGAGGATGTACTTTATAGATGGTCTATTAGAGATTTCAGATGAAGTGACCAGGGCAGAAGAAAAAAATGAAGGTCTAAAGTTCCTACTGACTCCTTAGCCTAAAACTCATTTAATGCTGTGAGATGGAATATTGCTGATTTCTGAGTTCTGTTCCCTACAATTTCCCCACTGCACCTAGAATCCCTAACCTCCCCAAAGGTTTATAGAAGGAAAGTAGATAATTTAGTTTTCATTTAGGTTCACTTCCCCACTCCCACCCTCTGCTCCCACTTCTCTCCTGGACTCTATGGACCCTATAGAAAGTTAATCACCATTTTACCTTAGCACATGTTTTGAGGCATCTTTGGAACTAATGAAAAGAGAATCAAGCTGATATGTTCTGAAACATTTATAAGATGCTGGAAGATAAGAATTCGGCTTACTATGAATCAAATTTAAACAGCTTCATTTGTGAAAATTTCCTGTGCTCTAAATCTCCACTCTAGTGTGTGACAATAATCAATCTGTTTCTCTTAATTACTGACATGATCAAGTGGGCTTTACATAAGCATAATGTGTAGATATTTTTCTTTAAGAATAGATAGTACTATGCATCCTACAGAGTTACTGTGGTATATTCATTGCATTATTTGTTTTAGAACAAAAAAGAATTGCAGCAGAAGTGCTTTATAAATATTTAGAAATATTCTGGGAGTTCCTTTTAATAGTCAAGCACGGAATTTCTTTTTTCTTAGTATGTTATGTGCTTTCGCAGACACATTTTATTTCTCTCAGTTCTTTAATTGCTTTAAAATAGCATCAGAAAGGCTTAAATGCTTTACTTACTTGTGTGGCTTTGTCCATAAAAGAGATGACATTTCTTATTATTTATTTTAGTTAACAGCTACATAAATTGATGTTGTTCTTGAGAAGTTAACATTCCTAGCCTAATTACCCTCATGGGGAAGAGCATATTAACCTAAATGTTCAATTCAGATACTATAACTGTGCCTATAATGGTACATAGTGAAAGATCACTTAACCTTAGCAAAATATGATGGGCTCCTATTGAGAAATTAACATCCTTTCCAATGGAATAACTTGTTTTAATATAGGTACTAACAAAACTAACAAAAACATATTTCTCTAGTTATTTTTAAATACTAATCAATGCTATATATTCAAAGTTAGGAATTTGTTTCAGACTTTGTTGTTTCCTTTTATATGCATTAACTATGTCAATTGGGCGAATGCCTAAAATGTGTAAGACCTAACTGAATGCTGACTATGTCTATCCAATGCCAACCTGCTCAGAAACAAAGTGAATAATTCAGTAACTCATCTAGATGTGGTTTTCTGTGTGATCTTAATTCTCCGACTACTAACTATACTAGATGGCTAACTTTTTTTCATTTTTAGGCAGATATTTAGCATTATAGTGTTATTTCAGACACAATTCTGTTTCATAAAATATACTGGATTACAAGTCTAAGACAGTTATATGAGAAGCAGACCTTTACTGTTTTACACTACAATGTGGATAGCTGGATTAAAACAATTATTGTGAACTTGGCTGTAATGGAATCTTATTTTTATAGCTCAGGTACTGTAATTAAAACTAATTGCAAGCAGAGGCTGAAATTATTATTGACATCATAGAGTAAAGTGAGCTGGCCAGACCTGGAGAGTTATGAAAACATATACTTGTTTACTTAGGGGGCATTTTTGTAGTCATGTGTACAGTCTTCAATTTCCCCAAACTATTTGTTGGATTATGTTACATAATATTAATGGTCAATGATGAAGAATAAAAACTACTGAAAGATGGCCTATTTTTGCTCAATAAAGATTTGTTACCAAGACTGCAATGTATATCCTCCTACATAAGCTAATTGAAAAAGCAAATATTAACATTAAAAATAGTACTTGCTTCTGTGTATTAAGAGCTAAGGAACTTTGTGAAATATCACCCCGGGAATATCTTCAATCTCTTCTTTGCCAATGTCACAGAAATCCTTCATTTCATATAGAGGTATTTTGTCTTGTTTTGTTTTGTTTAATAGAGTTTCATGATGGCAACGATTTTTGTCTTTTTGTTTGCAAATGAGTTTCGAGTGCTTAGAACTAGCTTCCTCCTAAAAGGTGCCCAAACGTTTGTTGAATGAATTAATTCAAAACCTGAAGCAACAAAGGAAGAAAAAGAAAGCAGAAGTAAGCATATTCTCCTGTGATAATAGGGAATCATATGATGTAGTCTTTTAGGAAGAGAAAATAAAAACAATGTTTTAGTTTAGTTTAATTTTGTTTTCAGGATATTTGTCCTTGCTTTTTTCTCTGAAAGATTTATCTACGGGCCTGTGGCTATGACTTTAAGCAGAGTAGATGTGAGTGGCATTTCTGGATGAATTTTGGAATGCTGCTCAGTGTGATAGACACAATTCGCATGGCACAGGTGCGTTTTTAACTGGAATCTAGCTTTGACATTCACCTGGACTTAGGTGGGGCCACTTACTTTCTTTAAGTATTAACTTCTAACCTTTTGGGTCTTAACTTGTTGGACTTAAATCAGAGATTTTCTTCTGCATTCTGCTGCATTCTTCATTCTCTTAGTCCTAAAGCAGATATAGCTCCGGGGCAGTGAGGATGGGGGCTCTAGCCTCCATACACTCTCAGTTTCAACTAGAAGTACCTATTCTCTTATGGATTGTATTTGTTGGGCTTACACATTCTCAATATACTTTTAATGAAGAAAGGGAGTCTAAGTCTAATGTGATTTAAAAATCACTGAATAACAATAGAACTCCCCTATGACCCAGCAGTAGTACTGCTAGGAATTTACCCAAAGGATACAGGAGTGCTGATACACAGGGGCACATGTACCCCAATGTTGATAGCAGTACTCTCAACAATAGCCAAAACATGGAAAGAACCTAAGTGTCCATCAACTGATGAATGGATCAAGAAGATGTGGTGTAGTTATACAATGGAATCCTACATGGCAATGAGAAGGAATGAAATCTGGCCATTTGTAGCAACATGGATGGAACCTGAGGGTGTTATGCTGAGTGAAATAAGTCGGGCAGAGAAGGACAGATACCATATGTTTGCACATATAGGTGGATTAGGAGGAAGTTAATGGAGGACCATGAGGGAGAAGAAGGGGAAAAATAGTTGGGGAGAGGGAGGGAGACAAACCATGAGAGACTCTTGAATGCTGAGAAACTGAGGGCTGATGGGGGTGGAGGAAAGGGGAAGGGGGAGATGGGCATGGAGGAGGGCACTTGTTGGGATGAGCACCGGGTGTCATATGGAAACCAACTTGACAATAAACTATTTAAGAAAAAAATAAATAAAAATAAAAATCACTGAATAAAATGATTTCTGTGATCCCTTTACTCCATTTATTCCTTCAGTCAGCCAGTCATTCAGTTACTCAAAAAATATTCTTTGAGATTTTAAAATATGCCTATTCCTTTTTTCCTTTTTTGGTTAAAAAAAACAATGGCAAGAGAAAGTAGTAATTACGAATACTAATATTGCACGTATAAGGTGCCAGCCACTGTTTTTAGATCTTTTTCAATAAATTACTAAATATTCTAGGCTTATTTGAGACCAATATTACAGTTATCTTTATTTCACAGAGGAAATTGAGGTAGAAAAATGTTCATTACTTTACCCGAGATCTCACAGGAAGAAGGAGAGGTTGCATATAGACCTGACATGAGTTGCTGGAATCCATGTGATTCACCCCATGACCACATTGCCTCTCCTCAAAGGCCAGAATCCTGCCTTCCTGGAGTTTACAGTTTAGAGGAAGAGACCACAAATGAAGGAAACACACAGATAAATGCATGACTGCCTAGGACAGGAAACGTTCTTCCTTTTTCCCTTCAAGTTTTTTTCATCTGGTTTAAGAAGTAAATTGACACAAGACAGATTCACAGGAAAAAAAAACTTATTACATGTGCATAATGAAATTGAAACTTAAAGAAATCACCAAAGCAAGCAGTTTTTATACTTTTTTAGACAAAGGGACAATAAATCTGTGAGAAATTGGCAGGACAAGGAAAAATTAATTTTGAAAGCTTTAGTTAAGGGTACCTGGGTGGTTCAGTTGGTTAAGCATCCGACTTTAGCTCAGGTCATGATCTCACAGTTCGTGGGTTTGAGCCCCATGTCGGGCTCTGTGCTGACAGCCAGCTCAGAGCCTGGAACCTTTTTCAGATTCTGTGCCTCCCTCTCTCTCTAACCCTCCCTTGCTCACGCACTCTCTTTTTCTCTCAGAAATAAATAAAACATTAAAAAAATTTTTTGAAAGCTTCAGTTAATACAGAATTTTAAACAGAATTTGAACTGGAGTAGTAAATTAGTAAAAAATAAATAAATAAAATAAAATAATAAAATAAAATAAAATAACTGTTGTTTATAATAACCTTTAAGGGTTTGAATTTCCTATCTCTGGTTATAAGGATTTTCTTTACCTCCTGGTACAAGGATGGTAACTTTCACATGAGAGATTTATATCTTGTTTTTTGGACATAGGGAGGGGGGAAGGTCACAGGATGCAGTTTGCATTTCTGTTTTTCTTAAGAACTT